ACATTTATCAGTTGTTGTTCATTTAAGGACAAAGGTCAAAATCAGAAAGTATGGGTCATTTAATTATCATTTTATTTAGTAATTATTTGCAAGTAAAATGTTTTTTTCAAAAAATGTGATGAATAATTTTTATTGAAACTCAAAAGCGCAAGAAAGACTCATTTTTCGAAGTAAAAACTGATATTTCATCAAAAACTTTTCAGGAATAAAACATTATGTGAATACTATTGTTGAATTAAATATTTAAGGTTACTTTAAAAAACAAATCCAATTTAGGATTACTAAAATCTTTTGAACTCAAATCAAATAATCATCTGAATTCTTAATACTTACTCGAAAAAATATCAAATTTTTCATTTTAAGAATTACGCGTTGTCTATTTCTAGTAAATGGCCACTATTAAAAATGAATTTAAGTATTTTATAGACATTAAAATTCAAAATTGAATTATTTAGTGTGCAGTTGAATATTGCATACAAATATTAAAGTAGTTATGAAGGGAATGTAACACATTGGGCTCTGTTGAATTATATTCATTTGGCCATTCTAAAAAGAATATCTCTAAAATTTGAAATAAGGAATAGTTGACAATTATACCAAAGAAATAGTTGCTATTAATTTCACAAATCTCTCAGAAATCCATAGATATTAGAAATTTAGAGATATTTTGTTAAGATATAAATGGGAAATACAAAGTCATCGGAAGGCGTTGACGATGTGTTACGGAAGCAAAAAATCTCAGAGTCGAGACCAAAACTTTATGATTTAGTAGACGTTCACGGTGGTGGAGATTTGATACCATGGATGAGATATATGAAACATACTGGTGATTCATCAATTATTGACGAATTTATTGAAACCAATGTTTCTGAATCCTAATTTTGCAATGATTAGCAGATATATCAACTTCATTTTTAGATTACTGTTCATTTAAATTGAAGTCTGAAGAAATTTGATCCTTGCAATGAAACTTTGGTAATAATCAAAATTTTTCAGTTCGAGTAATACTATCATCGACAATTGTAACTTCATTTGTATCTGCAAGTATTGCCTTCTGTCTTCTGTTAGTCATTAGTGATTTGTGTCTGAAAGAAAACAAATTATACATATCAAAATTAGCTTTCAGTGAAATTTTTCATCGTAAAGTCGTAAACAGAGGCAATAAGTTATTGAAGAATCTCGTACTACTGTAGAAATCATATATTTGTGCTTGGAAGTAGTTTGAGAAATTCACATTCATCTTTTTCAGCAATGTAATGGATTCATTCAGTTACACTCGACTTGAAGTAATTAAAATTTGTTTTGCGTCGCATTTCAAATATTTTCAGCTTCAAAAAATGTCTAATTAATTATTGCAGCCAGTTTTCTCACGTCCTTCTCACACATCTATTCAAATTGTGCATAAAACTATTAATGTGAAGTTCATTAAGGAAAGGTCGTGGGAAGGAAATTTCACCCTCTGATAAATCTTTTTACCTCATATCAGTTAATGAGAGTTGCTTTGTTAGAATCGATGCATTTTTTGATGAACAGTGCGATAATTCATGTTGTTGCGACTTTTTTATATTATTTATGGCTTCCGTGAAAGAAGACAGTCTGCCAAGTCCCTAAATACAAAAATACAGAAAAAGTATGGTGATTAATGGTTCTTTGCTGAATGATGTCTAAAGAATTCCAAACAAGCAAGAAAATACGTTAGAAGTAGCAAAGCCAAAATTTTTTCGCTGATTGAAACTATGAAACTTTTAAAAAAGAAAGACCGTGCTAAGAAGTCCGCGCCATCCTGATTGATCAAAATATCGTACACGTTTTTTCAGTTGATATACGAATAAATATTCGAAACCAAGAGAGAAGATACCAATCACCTATAACTCAGTAACTAGAATATAACTGTATTCTGTATGATGAACTTATTTTCTTGAAATAATTTTTATGAAAATCGATTTAGTAATACTTCAACATTAGCCTTCCCACTTTAATAAGAATCCGAAACTTATTAGCTGAAGGTTGGATTTCAGAAGTAAGGCGAGCAGTACGAAACGGACTAAAAATGAAATAAAAAGTGTATGATGTTTTAGTATAGTATATTCACAGGCTATTATACACTCCTTAATACTAAAATAAAATGGATAGTTTGTTATTACTGACTGTTCCAACTATCAGCAAACAGAATGCACTCATGAAGTTTCCTACGCCAAGTGGAGCACTTCTAGTCTGGCTATTGGAATCTGGCGTACAAGCTCCAGTCATCCAGAAATTTTGCAATCTCTCCAAATCACCTAAATTCTTTAAAATTATTGCATTATTGCATATCCAATAATAGCACCATAATTCATGATTATAAAATTAATTACTGACTGGTAAGATGAGTAAACTTTTTTGTTTTGAATTACAAATATAGAAAACCTGACATATTTAAAAAAACATTTTATATGACAAATTATCGTGATTGTGAAATTTGTGTAAGGATCCTCATACATTCCCATTCATGAAGGATTCGTGATGCTAGGAGATGTGATTTTTCAATGACAAAATATTTTTCAAAATAGTCCGAAAAAAAAGTTTACCATTTTGATGATATTGCAGCATGTAATGATTAACTTTGTGGAGATATGGCGAATTTTTTGGAAAGCCAAATCCTACAAGAAAGAAACAAATTTTCAGCTGATTTACGACTATAAATCTGATTTTATTGCAATCAAAAAAATTAAAATTGACCGTAGCCAGTCATTGAAGACCATTTTCCAACAGTTATCAATTCACAGTTTGGATCTTTGCCTGCATGATAATCGAGTACCACAGCGTCGTAAACGAAAGCATGCAATTCTCTGAATGTATAAACATTTCTTGGATTATTAATACTATTTCCTGATTGAAAAAATGTTACATTCTAGGTGGTTATTATTTTCTGGGATAAATTTAAATCCAATTTAAGTAATTAAAATATGTAAATTTTGAATTTAAAAATTACTTTATAGTTCTATTACTGATACAGTAATTTTTAAACTCAAAATAATCACAGATAAATTTGGAAAAAAGTAATACAAAAATGGTACTCTTTTTTAACAGCTTCTATTCCAGCAGATATATTATCCCGAAACAGCTTATTATTCGTGACATACTGATTTACTCTAAACCAATTTCTTTTCATTGTTTCATGAGTGTTTCCACCTTCTACAGTACCATAAAGAAACGGTGGTGTTTGGTGTTCAGCGTATACTAGCTGAAAGTGTTTAAAAAAATCAAACTTGCTTTTAAATTTTTAGGCAAAAACTGTAATACCAATTATTATTTTTGTCACTTTTGATTCATAAAACACTTAGTTAGCCATAAGATTTCCCAAGGTTATTTTCTTAAAGATTGAATATGTTTAATAATTATAAAACTTTACAGTAATTCTAAAAATTTTTTAATTTATCCTGAAAACTATACCAGTTTTTGATGTTGTACATATTTCTTGTGTAATGCATAATCGTGTATTCATATTCAAGAAATTGAATTATCTTCAAAATTTATCAATTTCAATAATCAAAAAAGAATCGCCTTACTCTGTCATCATCTATTCCTTTAAGATCGTAAAACTGTACACGAGTAATCATAAAAGCTGCTAAATTCGCAGTATATACAGCAACAAACGTAAGACCAAAAGCAGCCCATACCAATGCCATAAAACGACTAACCATTGAACGTGGATTATCTAAGCATATACGCAGTTTTGTGCATATTTTACTTATTTTCACAATCAATTCTAGAAAACTTGAAAATTTTTTACAGTTCAATTTTAATTAATTTCACATTTTGATTTGGCAAAATACGTGATTTCATTAATGAGAAAATATTCTTTTACCGGTAGAAACACTAGCTCCGAACAGCGTGGCCCAGACTAGCCAGTAAGCTCGACATAATGAAAATTCGTGACCTCAAAGAAAATTACTCTTAGAAACTTGATAGAATAATAATTGCTCCGTGAAATTCACAATAACTAATACAAACTAAACTGATTGCTCATAACTAATTGTTCAAAAATAATGCTTTTGATTTAGACTAATTTTGCAATGTCTGTTGCAAAACACACTAATAATTTTATTTCCTTATAAATTTTGCTTTCTAAATATTAATAAAGCAATTAGTCATGAACAATCTGTTTTTGAATAATTGGACTAGATACTGTATTCAATAAGTTGATAAAGCACGTATTTTATAATATTCTATTTGCTAAAGATTTCTATTTCTATTTTTTGTCAGTCATTTTTCCCTTTGTTCAGTAACTTTGTATGGATTTAAAATCGAATCATCAAAGAAAATTTATACGTAATACTTTGCGTCAAATATGCGCAAAGATAATGCGAAAAATATTTAGTGTATAAAAATAAAAAGTTTTTGATTTTAATAACACCATATCACTTGAAGTTAATAACTGTATTAGAATATATCCTCGCTCATCTGCGCAATTACACATTTGCAATGATTGTGAAGGACTCAGTACTTGTAATTATTTTTCAGAATTATTTTTCTATAGCTTAACTGCAATTTTTAAATAACTTAACTAGATACTGTATTCAATAACTTGATAAATGATTAAATGACTTTTTTACTAAATACAACCGATATCGCTTTTAATTCAATAAGTTTGCTAAATTTCTTCCTGTAAATAAATCTTTTATAACAAAACTATCAGTAATAGTGTACGTCATAAATTAATTTTAATATAAAAATTTTATTACTTGTTGAAGGGTGATGTTCTTTATTGCAATTAGATGGACTAAGCCGTTCAAAAATAAATATTGAGAAAGCGGCACCTTGGATCGAAACCAACAAAATAAGTACCCAAGTTGAGTATTCAAATGGTTCTGCAATTTTCAGTACAAATAAATTTAAAAAAAAACGCTAGCATACTATCATAGTTTCATTTTTGTCTACTCTGAATATAAGATAGCGATAATTTATCCATTAAAGTATATTTTACAACTAAGATCAACATTTTGAATATTTGTCAGCTGATTTAAAACATCTTACTTATCCTATGATTTTGGTAACTTGTATTGCGCAAAGAAACTTTGCTAATATTATGGTTTTAAAATTTAATAGACAAAACTTTTAATGTACAAAAATCTTGCAGAATATGATATATGCCCAAAATATAAATTGAAATGTATCAGTATTGCAGAAGGAAAAAAATTTATAAATTTGATAAATTATTCAGGTTTTACACCGATTTAAAATAATATGCAATGATGGATTTTAATAAATTTCGATACAAATACTGTTAGATGAAAATGTTACCAACTTAGTGTGAAGTTTTCAAGCAAAAATTGAGAATATATGTATTCTCGAGTTTGCATAAAACAAATAACTTTAAAAAAATCAAAAACAGTGATAATTAATAACTGATTACAACGAACCAAGAAAAGCGGTTGGTGATAACACACCACTTTTCACTTTGACAATAATTGTGATGCCGGTTTCCAGAAAAGGAATCGAGAAGTCAATATCACGAGCTCGTTCTGAGTTAAGCTTCAGCGAGGTCACACACATATCTGCTTTATTGGTCACTAGATCTTGTATTAAACCATTCCATGCTTTCTCCTGCAATAAATAGCATAATTTTGAATTTTTTTGTAAATTTAGAAGGACAAAAGCTATGTCTATTTTATGAGGCATGTTTTGTATATTTTTAATGTTTTTTTTTGATCTTTTATAATCTCAGAAATTGAATTTTACAACCCATTTCGTCTACTTATTTCTATATTCAAGTTTATTTTTCAAATTTCCAATTTTTTGAATTTTTTTCAAATTTTTTCCAATTTCTGGGTTGGTTTTTGAAGTTTTGTGCTTTTGGATTCTATAAGTAAAAAATTTCGTGACTGTGTTTACGCGGCTTCTATATATTTAATTGTTTTTACTTTGCTAATTCGTTTTTATTCTCTGGGATATCCTTTCGTTGTTCAGTATCTTAATCTAAAGCTGCTCTCAAACAACGAAACAGGTATATAATTTACATAAATAATAAATAAATTATAAAAATTTAGAAAATTCCTAAACTGCAGTCCTTAATGAAGAAATTCATATTCAAATTCAAATTCAAATAAAAATGGTTTTAAGCACTTTTCAAATGTTTTGATTACGTTCGTCAAATTGTATTTAGTAATATTGACTTAGTTTTTATTTCTTAGCTGAAAAACGTTTAAAAATTATCAAACAAACATTTTTTATGCCCCATTTTTCATCGCGAACTTTGTAAAGCGTATAAGTAAAACCAATATCTCTAGCAAGTTTTTCTAGCAAATCAATGCAATAACCAGAACAGCATTTGTTTACTGTTCGATTGCTGGAAAATTACAAAAATGAAAGTAATAAAATTAAAAGTAAACTTTGGACTATTTTTTTACGTCAAATTCATGACGTAACGTAGCATGGTAATACATTAAAGATGAAACACACGTGTACACTGCATTTTTGACGAATTGCTCAGTACCCCAATCACAAATAGATCCACGATTTCCAGGACAAGTACCAGTATCTGCATCCAAATCTGATACTATTATGAACGGTGGTTCATGTAGCGTTACAATAGTAATATGGAAGTTATCAGCTGTACCTTCTGGTGGATTCGCTTTACCTCCTGGCCATTCAATATCTGCCATACGTAATTCATTACCGGTAAATTCTCCTACCTTAAAAGACAACAAAGTATGATAAGGGAATAAAAGTGCTAGAATACTGGAATTATTGGTATCATTTACTCAATAAAAGAAATGCCACGAGCCGGGATCGAACCGGCGACCTTTAGATCTTCAGTCTAACGCTCTCCCGACTGAGCTATCATGGCTCGATACCAATCCCCCATATTAATTATTAAGGTAACCTCTACTTTATTGCATTAGTATGAAGCATACCAATATGTACATCAGAATGCATGCAATATACCATACCATAATCAGTCACCAACATCAGAATTAATGGGAGTTTTGTCTTCTGATTACTAGTGAGATTACAGATAAAGTGGTGTGCTACCGTAGTTGCTAAATCAAGTGGCTTACAACTGAAGGTCTGGAGGTTATGGTTTGCCCACACTGTGACGATGAAATTCTTTGGCATATCTAGAAAACCACTGCAAAAATGCGACAGCTATGTCTTACACAACGGTTTTCTATATAAGTACAGGTGCAATGTGTACTCGGCGATAATCCCCTAGCCTTTTTGAGAGAAACATTTTTAAGTTTTTATTACTGGTAGAAATTATTGGAAAAAAATGTTGAGAATAAAGTAGAATTTGGAACGAAAGTAATGGCAAAGTAAGGGAAAAAGTCAACTGTTATTTATGGACCGATGGTCAGTCGATATTTGATACCCAAACTATTGAAGTATCTTAGAAGATAGGCCTCATTTAGTGGACAGATGTAGCACCATGAATTTGTAATCAATTTCCATGAATCTTAGTAAAAGGGGCGGGCTGAGCCGGTGATCGAAACCGGGACCTCTCGCACCCAAAGCGAGAATCATACCACTAGACCACTCAGCCCTACACCAATGGCACCAGCTACTATTATTGAAAAATCAAGTTTACAACCCAATCTTTAAACTTCAAAACCGGTTTCAAAGTATCAGTGAATTTTAGTAAAATATGTGGGCTGAGCCGGTGATCGAAACCGGGACCTCTCGCACCCAAAGCGAGAATCATACCACTAGACCACTCAGCCACACGGATATGGAGAATCAGTATTTTATAAAACGGGAAAATAAAGAATAAAATCATGAAATTCATATTGGAACAGTCATCGTCTGTCAAAAGTGTGCAAAAGGGTAACTGGGGGCTGAGCCGGTGATCGAAACCGGGACCTCTCGCACCCAAAGCGAGAATCATACCACTAGACCACTCAGCCCACTGACTGCAACCAACCTCATATGAATTATCAGTTAAACTTGGAAATTTGTTGTGCAGAGAATGAATAACTCCATCAGTGCGTGAAAATATCGATTTATAACCTTATATTAAACACTTTTGGTTTAATTATTAAAGTTAAAAATTATATAAGTTTATAAATTAATGATAGAATTAGTTTTTAGGTCAATAAGTCATTCGTTTGGTTTGAATAAGCATTATTCATTGCTTATTCACAACAAACTTTGCAAGAAAACTATTTTGAAAAAAAAAATTGATCTAAAAGTATTTTAGTAATAGAAGCTATGTACCTTTCTGTTAGTGAAAGAAACGGTATTTATAGTAAGTTACAAAAGAAACCTTATCCCAGACGAGAGTATTGCTTCTGACATCTTTGTTGTGCTTTTTTCTTAGATTAGATATCGTAAGATATGTATCATTCAGTTTACCGTACTCGTTAAACCGGTAAACAAAAGAATCATATCCATCTTTGGCGTGGTATGGATTTCCTTTCACATAAGATTCCTTCATTTTTCTGCAAATATTCTTGAATTTGAAACAAAATATTCGGTCAAAAGTGATTATATATATATATAATCTATACGCGATTACCAAATTGTTAATGAGTTTTCAAAAAACGAAAATTTGCATTGTGATTAAGTGATTGAAAGGAAATCAATATTTTATATGGGATTAATGCGATAATATACAACTTCATCAAAAACAGTTCAAGAAGAATTAACCGCGCAGATGCTAAAGTAATACAGCTTAAAATGCTATATCCAATTATGCATTTAATTTATCCTCTTTTTCGTTTTTTAGGTAATCCTCCATCAATTGATCAGCAAACTGATCATTTTTCAAAGTATTCAATATCGACTGACATAATATTCCGCATTTTTAGAAAATGTCTGCATAATGCAACACTTTTTTCCCATTCAAAAATTTCTCACTGATAATTTAATTTTAATTTAATTCATTTCATTCTTTCATTTCGAAAACAAAATCTTAATACTTCACTGTTTATTATTCATAATAACTTCAAAACAGAAATAATTCATTCTATTTCACAAAAACAATTTATACAAAAACTTTTGCATGCAGAGGTTATTCTGAAAGAGTAAGCAAAGGATGTGATTACTCATTCCATCAAAGGTCAACCAGATTTCAGCTTATATTCGATTCAATCAGATTTCAGCTCATATTCGATTCTCATAAGTTGTCAGTTTACTTACTTGTAAATGATTTCGCCTTCTGGCCACTTTGCTTGTTGAGGTCTGTTTTCACACGATAAATTCGGTTGTAATGTATGAGATTCATTAGCACCTAACTTGCTCAGTGCAATACCAAAAAGCTAAATTTGTAAATATTTTAAAAGAAATTTTAAAAAAATAAACAACTAAATCTTTTAAAAAAAATAAGTAAGTATATTATATATTTGCAAGATATTGCTATTGTATTTGTGAGCCAATCATGCAAATTTATCACCAACTGGAAACAATGCCATGTAATATCACATATTAACTTGACGGCATCTGAATCTCTTTACTTTATTTGAATCTTTTAACTTGATTCCATCTGAATCATAGCCTATTCCAGTTTGAGTCTGTCTATCTATACTAAGTTTTATGTTGATCTGAAATGAATAACTGATTTTTCGTCTCTCTTTTTCTGCTCTTCATCAAATCCCCTGAAACGTAACCAACCTTAGGTGCAATACCGATAACAAGTGGAAGTACATCATCAGTTGGTGGGAGCATGGCATTTGATACAGTATGAAAATTTATTGTAAGCATGCCTGGCTGCATGGGTGGAGTCAAGCTAGTTGTAGTACCTTTCACTGATTGCGTGCCTATCCATAAATACCGTTCACCAATCATATCCACTTCAAATGCTGCCTATAATTGTTAATTTTTTATTTAATTTTTCTTATTCAATCTTAAATAATATCTGTAAGAGGCAAATTTTCATAACAAATTTATAATTAAATTAATGATTGTTGTATTTTTTAGCTATATACTTTCTGTTAAGAAGTAATACTTTATGTATTACTTTAGCAAAAAGAAATCACGTGACATCATTCTTAAGTGTTGAATTAAAAATGGACAAGAGTTTATTTTACAAATTCAGTTAAAAGCTCAAATCACTTTTATTAAAGTATAGACTACGACGGGATTAAGTATGAACTATTGCTAAATTGTGTTCCAAGTAAAGTTTGAAGATTACATTGACTAATTGCGAATTAGCAAACCTGAAATATTTTTCTAGCAGCACTAGATGTACTGTACAACAAAATTATTTTTGCTTCTGATTTTTTCAAAGTCATTAGTTGCTCCTTGATTCGTCTCAAGTCATCTTTGTCATCTATTTCTTCTTCATGAACTATTCTGAATCTACAAAGCCTTGAATTTGTCATGCACTTCATTTATTTATGATATCCTCAGTAGAGTATCATATTTTTTCAATTAGCAACATTTGCGATAAAGGGGTATTTATAATATCTAAATACATATTGCGATATTTATAATATCCTTAGTAGTATCATCATTTTTTTTCATTTTACCAGAAAAATCGTTGACCAGCTACTGTATGACCAATTATTAGTTATAATGAGTTACTTTGATTGTACAGAAAAATGATCTATTTTATACAATAACACCATCATAATTTATAATTCAATTAGTCACTATTGTCGATTTATCTTAATTGAACATTCAATTCATAACCAATAATAATAGTTTAAAGTGTTTACAAAATGGAATATTTTTAGTTTACTTTTGCTATGTTACTTAATACTGTACACTAACCGGAAAGAACGATCTCCATTATTATCGTCAACTTCTTGTTGAACAAGTTGCAGGAAGTCAAGTGATCCTGCAATTTTTGAACGTACAATACCAAAGTTGGGCCAATTATAGCGTTTCAAAATTGCGATCATAGCCTTAATTTGGTGTTCGATTGGTGGTGCCATTTGTAAAATACGGTATTGCGTTAAATCCTGCAAAGATTTTCGCGTCCAAAGATGTCATAAAAAATAAAACACAATCAAAACACATAGTTGTAACCAAAAATGCTTGAACATGTGCAAGTTAAGATATTATATAAAATTACACGTCAATTCTTGTCTCAACATATTCTAGGTTAGATAATTAAAAAATAAATATTGAAAAGTTGAATATTTGCATAAAAATTATTTCAATTAATGCAAAAATAATGCAATACAATTGCTATTTTAATTGAAATTAGAGAAAACTTCACTTTAATAAACATTGAAATTTTGAAAATTCAGTTTAAATTCGTTAATTCAGACAATTTCTGCAATAGTCACTTTGTCTCAAATTAATAAATTTAGTTTAGTTGACGACATATCTCTTAATTTATTCTCACATGAAGTTTTCTTCAACTTTAGAATTCAAGTCCAAATACTAATTCATATTTTGATCCATAATCTTATCTAAAATCCTTATTGATTATTCAGTGAATTCATTTTCCTCAAATGCCTCAATTACCGTATCTTTCTCGATTTTACGTATTTTCTCCGAACGATAACTTACTGCCTCACTTTCACAATTTTACTTTCTCACTTCACAAAAATAAATACCAACTACTATCATCAAAACTAGAAACCCAATTTTGTGAATATCCGGCGTTGTCAGCATTCCACGCGATGATTGGAATGCCAGTTTGAGATGCCATATGCAAGAAGTACTGCGATGCAGACGTCATTTGATCGTATGTTTCTTGCGCAGTCACGTAAACAATTAGTGATACCTTAAAGTATTCAAATAAATTCTAGCCCCATAATGAAATTAAAGCGAAAAAAGAATAATAACATCAGTAATTGAAATTTTTCTATTTTTCTTGCCTGAAATCTGAAATTTTGTTAATACAGTAATTCAAAAAAATTGTAAGTTTATGAATAACAAAGTAGCAAAGTATAAATATTTTTCAATTTGATTAAAATAAAACGTTATAAATATTAATAATTCAAACCGAAATTGATCATAAATAATGTAACAACAGCAATTATTAATTTAACACCATACAGTGAGGTTTCTTTTAAATAAAAGTTAATTCTGATCAGTCAATAAGATCATCGATAATAATTGCTCAGCCTAAACTATATTACAGTTATTGAGCATCTAAAATAAAAAGCGAAAGTTTTAACTGTAATAAAAACATAAAAGACCCTGTTTTTGATCAATATATTGCAAAGACAGTTCAAGACATCTGATGGATAAAACATTCCTCGTGGTAGTACGCAGTTAATCGGATTCAACGTATAATTCTGTGCTATTTTACGAATTTGACTGAAAAATTGATCTTAAAAAAAATATTTATTTGTCAGTCAAAAAATTTTCTAAATGAATTCCAGATTATCAGTGCTTGTCAATAAATTACGCGTTTCTTCAATTGTTAAGTAAAGATTAATCTTAAGTCTGCAAGCACTTTTATTCAAATTATACTTTCGGATTTGCATTATTACAAATAAAAATTACTTCTATACTTTATTAAATGTATTAAAATTATTTCAAATATAAATAAAAATTTTGAATTCTACGAAATGGATTGTCCAGCATTAATATTCCGGATTGCTTCTTTGAACGCTTTGTTGTATACTTTTGATTCAGCATAATTCTAGAACAGAATGTAATTATTATGCTGTAAAGTAGTCATCATTGATTTTACTCATACCTAATTTAAACATTCTTCAGATATTACGATGCTACAATCTGACAACGTGAAAAATTATTACTTGTAATGATTAAATTAGTATACTTAATATTCTATTTATGATTCATTATTAAACTTAGATCCATTCTACATACTAATTTTAATTGTATACTAATCGATTTATACATTTCTGATCTAATAATTTGCGCAGTATATCGAGAACCGATATTTATTATCCATAATAATGATTTCTGTGTTATATAAATGTCAATATCAAACTTGAACTTTGAACTTCCATGAACTTACAAGTCATTGATCAGTTCGTTGTATTTAACCAAGTATTCATTATTATTACCTAATAAAAAATGTGATTATATTGACCTTATTTTAACAAAAAAACGAAGATTACTTTGTAAACAAGACCAATATTCACTTGTTTTTTGAATACTCCAGAAGGACTACTACTTAATACAGATGCAATATTCACAATATGCAAAAAAATTAGCGAAATAATTTGTAAAATTCGACCTTTGACCATTTCATATTTTTTATTTGCCTTTTCCAGTAATATAATAAATAATGACAGATGTAAATTTAGTGACTCGAAAATAGACGTCGTTTGCTTTAGCTGAAGTTATTGCATTCAATCAAATTTGCATAAACAGCAAATTTAGACACTTTTTATAATATTTTTAGAATAATTACGTGAAATGATATTGCGAATGAAATGAATAAAATGTAATACGAAAATAGCCGTGAAAGTCTGCACAAATAACATGACAAAAGTGAATTAAAAGTGCACAAAAAATTTGATTAACTTTCATTTTACTTGATAATAAATAGAAAATTTTACTTTATAAGCAAGACTTATATTAATAATTATTATCAATAATAATTATTGATTTTGATAATCAAAATTAATTATTCAAATTTTTTCTCTTAATGTTAATTTTTTGGTACTTATCAGTTGTCTATATGTTTTTATTTTTTTAAAAATTAGCAAATTTTTTTCTATATATAAAAAGTTTGTAAATTTTGGTCTTAAATTTTCAAAAATTTTTTTGAAAAAATTGTTAGTCTTAGTTTTTAAATTTATTTAAACTTTGCAAATCAGATTTGTTTTTGTTTTTTTTTCAAATATTTGATCACTTTAAGCTGATATGAACAATTCAAAATTGTTTTGGGTTAAACTTTTTGCAACATCAATTTACTTCATTTTATTCATTATTATCATTCAAAAATCACTTTTTAATTATTGAATTTTTATTTTCTAATTTTTAAGACCAAAATTTTGAAGTTTTTCAAATATAGAAAAAATTTTGCGAACTTTTTTCAAATGCAAGTAATCAAAAATATAAAACAATTGATAAGTGCCAAAAATTAACATTTAAAGAAAAAATTTGAATAATGCATTTTAATTATCGAAATCAATAATTATTATAAGTAATTACTATTAATATAAGTCTTGCTTCTAAAGTAAAGTTCTCTATAGTTTCAACTTTTCGCTTTCTATTATAATGCTGCTTGGAACGAATTTGGATTAAGCTGAAGTTATAGACAGTCTTGAATTGTTTTGCGCTTTCATTAATCCTCCTTACTTACATTTAATTAACTTTTTTAGTTGTACTGATAAGATTGAAACAAATCTAAGTCTAGATTGATTTTTTGTAAGTAAAATTAGACAGTAAATTGATCTGTGTCCGAAATTCAAGATATTTTCTGATTGTTAATTAGCAATCAGTCTAGCCAATATAATCAAATTTGAGCTAAATTAATAATTTTTATCAGAAATGCATATAAAGCACAATTATCTTTTTTCTTCAAAAATTTTCCTCTCAAATTTAATTATATTGGCTTGCAGATGAACTTGAATTCAAGTGCTGCGAGTTAATTTATATATCTATTCAATTTAATCATCATCAACTGCTTACAGTGCAAAATTTTCACGCCTAAATGACTTAAACATACAATAAATTATTCATTTTCGATTAAATTTAAGTATTTTCTACAATAAATGTATTCATTTTCGATTAAATTTAAGTATTTTCTACAATAAATGTATTCATTTTCGATTAAATTTAAGTATCTGAAATATTATAAAAGGTATTTTCAGAATCTAAACTTAAAATTTATAAGTTTAGTAAAAACTTAGACATTAGTAAAAATGCTAAAGTTTTGCACTTTATAAAATTAAGTTTAATATTATTTTTATTATTCAAATTTAATTTTAAACAAAATCTGAATTTAAAAAAGAGTCTGGAAAAAGTTAATCAAAACTTACTGATTTATAACTTATTTGATTCATTATCATATCAAAGTAATCTTTACTTACGTGTTTGAAAGTACTTAAAATTGTAATTTTATTCACTGTAAACTATAAATGAATTAATTTCTAGCTCAAACTTCGTATTATCTTAGCGTTAAATTTTGTTTATCATTCAAGCATTTAATTAATAATTTTGACACAATTTTATCAATACATTCAGTTTTTATATGCAAATATTAAATAAAATTATAATACTTAATAAAAATAAATTGCTGAAATTATTAAAAGTGATAGAATAATAAAGAAAAAAGCATTCATAAATTGCAAAAATGGAAAGTTTGAAGGAAATTATTGGCAACGAATGAGTTTACGCAGTAAATTCGTCCTAATTATATTTACTTTTTATGCATTTTTTTGCCTAAAAACTTTTTTCAATCAAATTTTGAAAGTTTCGAAAATATTTTTGCTTTTAAAATAGCTAACATCACTTTTGCATACTTATAAATATGCAATGAAATAAACATTCACAGCAGAATACAAAATGTATTTTTAAACGCTAAATTTTTTTACTTTTTAAAATTCCTATCACTAGTAGTGAATAGTTTGTTTATTATTTTACTTATTTTTATTTATTTAATTTAGTTACTTATTCTTTTTATCTAAGTTATTTAAATGTAAAATAATTATTTCTAGTAAATGTCTAATTATCTGCGCATAATATTTTTCTGCGATTTTCCAACTCACGAATAATCTGCTCATTATTTTTTTGACTGATTTTTAAGTA